AGCTTATCAAAATTAAACAAATTTGGTATCATGTGAGAGGACTGAAATAACTTTTAAACAGAAATAGCGAACGAAGGTTACCNTTTCATTTGATACCAAACTTGTTTAATTTGGATAAGCGGTTTGTTTATTGTCCGGAAAGGACTTTTAGTTGGGAATAAAAAATATTTGGCCAAGTTTAACTCGTAAAGAAAATAACTGTTACTTTCGGTCCCTTCAATATTCGCATTCGCAAAAGATCCGCATTGATTATTGCGAATGCGAAAGCGAACGCGAATGTTAAAATTAATGCGGAAGCTCCGCGGTTGCGAATGCGAATGCGAATATTCGCAACAACCCTGGTATATACATATATATCACATATTTTGACTTAGATATGTATAGACCATTAATGATGTGTACATCATTTTTTTTATGTTGAAACTAGATATGTATATAGTATGTTATTATTATTATCCGGTTCAAAAAAGTCCTATCTCAAATGAAAATACTTTGAAAATGTGCTGAGATAGGGCGTTTTTGGATCGCCAGCTGAGATAGGGTGTTTTTGAACCGAGTTCTGAGATAGGGCATTTTTCAATCTTCTAATAGCTGTTGGCCATGCCACTAATGCCTCATACTCAGATTTACTAGATAAAATCGTGTTCTCCGAGAACAAAAATTTTCACGATCCAAAAATCTGAAAAATCTTTTTTCTCCAAATTTTGAACATTTATCGTTTTCGGTCTATATTTTGTGGCAAATACCATACAAAGCAAATATAGGCCAAAAAACGAAGAATTTTCAAAATTTTGAGAAAATAATTTGGCCGCTATACTCAGAGTTTTGAATCGTTAATTTTTTTTTTCTCGAGAACACGAATTGATCTAGTAAAACTGAGTATGAGTCATTATTGGTATGGTCAACAGCTATCAAACCTGATATATGCGCACAAGAAGCCCATTTGAAAGAGGGAGACAAAATATCACACGTNCCGAAAGTGTTCAGCGCGAGGAGTACAAACAAATTGTCAGCGAGTTACTTCAGCAGAGTGAACCTGTCGCAGTCAATGAAGGTAACAATTTGATTTTAAAGAAAGTTTCGACTTATATTTGCAAATAAGTTGTTATAGCCGAGGCGAATAACAGTGCCAACGTTGTTCCGATTGACGAAAATGTGGAGAATAAGGAAAATAGCCTAGTGGATGCAAATCTTTCCGAAATCCCCGCGACTTCAACACCTCGCAAAGTCTTCTACTACGACAGCAGTTTGGAAGAAGTTGAGGAGCTGGAAGCTCAACTGTGAGTTTGTAAAAGCAATAAGGCAATCTAAACATGTTGGCATATTCTTGTGTTTAAAGTTTTAATTTTGTTACACGTAGAAAAAGACTTAAGCGAGAAAACAAGACTCTGTTAATGGATAACAAAAAGAAGGACATGGAACTGGCGGCACTCCAGCAAAAGTAGGGTAATCAGAAAAAGAAGCATGACTATGAGGTGGAACAGCTGAAAAAACGCTTGGATGAATACGAAGATATGTGTAAAAACATGGAGAGCAAATTTTAATCTTTACTTGTATAGGTGCCATACTGAAAAAACGTTGTTTCGGAAAAATGGCCTATCGATATAGAGCCACCAGAGT